CGATTCCGCGATTCCTCACTGTGACCACACTCAGGTCAAGTTTCAGGCTCCCGGCGATTGATTTCCGCCGCAAATCTCCTCGTCGGAGTAGTCCAATAACGTCTTCACTCGCCGTGATGTTGCCGGGAAATTCGGTTGTATCGGATGTCTGCGCCTTTGGAATCACCAGCCTCGTCGCCTTCTCTTGCCTCGGTTTCTGGGGAGAGATTGGCAAGCGCCGTATCTTCGACCAGGTCTTCAGAAAACTCAAATTACCAACAACACTTACATGTAGAAAATAGAATTACACGCGTCGATTTCTGTACAAGTTTATTTTGGAATTTTGTAGATGGCGATGTATATTAAACTCTTGAGTAGTTGATTGCTTTATCGAGTAATGGCATTAATGGCTGTAATGTGATTGGAGACGTATTTGTGATAAAAAAATTGCAGTGAAGAGAAATGGAAACTAAACCCCAAATCTGGTAAATTAGAATGGGGAAAGCTCTACACTGCTCAGAAACCAAATTGGGGATGATGATAAGTATATTTTTGGAATCCGTGAGTATGATCACATTATTATCTTATCTTGAAAAATTAAAACTAAATTTTTGGTATATGAGTTTTGAAGGTTTAAATGTTGCACGATTTGTTTGCTCTACTTTGAAGGGGATTATTTCTTGGAATGAATCTTGTTTATCTTCATGGAATTTAGTTAGGAATGGTAGTTATGGACATTGGAGTTTGAATGTGTAGCAAGATATTGCTGAATAGGATGAGCATTTTGCCAGTGAACTCTATAGAGAACAATTTTTGTTGGGGGAAAAATGTATGGCTTCAGCTACTGGATTTTGTTTCTCTGACCTTATTGTGATCAAGAAATAACCCAAAACACATTAAATTTATAAGAGCCATAGGTTATATCTGATTCAGGGCTGACAGAATTTTCATGGTTCTCTGAATCAAGAATTGGTTTAGCATATGTGGCTGACATGCTTAACTCATTTGTGATCTTCCCTTGTTTTTCAGAAACTCATCCGGAAGCTCGTGCATATAAATATTGGGCTAGTTTTTATGCTTTGCTGGCCGCTGTTCAGGTAATTCCGATGAAAAGGATTAATTTTGATAGACCAGCTTCTGCTCTTTGCTTCACCAGCTGACTCCAATACCAATCATTTCAGTTCTGGACTCCAAGGAGCGCTTTTCGCTTCCCTTGTACCTGGGCTCAATATAATAAGGATGCTGCTCCTGGGGTTTGGAGTGTACCACGACGAAGGAACGATCAAGTCAATGAGCAGACACGGAGATTGCAGGTAGCTGAATTGGAAAAAATACCTCTCACATTCTTGGTATTTGACTTAAAGTCAAATCACAAAATTTAACCATCTCTAAGCAATCTTGGTTTCTGCGATCAAGATTTGGTTCTTCTGTGTATTACCGCTTTTTGTCTCTTCACAAAGTGTCTATAGTCGCTCTCTGCATCAGGGAACTACTTAAGGGACCGCTTTATTATGCACTGTCAATCACATCGGCATGTATCTTCTATTGGAAAACATCCCCAATCGCAATTGCGGTGATATGCAACCTTTGCGCAGGAGATGGTACGTACACGTAGCTCTGGTTTGATACAATAACATTAGCAACTTTTGTATTGGAAATTTGAATCTATTGGATGACGAATCTTAATACATTGTTGTTGTAAACACCATCTTAAAAGGTATGGCTGACATTGTGGGGAGGCGGTTTGGAACGGAAAAGCTTCCATACAACAAAAACAAATCATTTGCTGGTAGCATTGGAATGGCCATCGCTGGGTTCTTGGCATCTGTTGGGTATATGTACTACTTTGCTTCATTCGAGTACATCAAGCAAAGCGGGCTGGATATGATTCTCCGTTTCTTCATCATCTCTGTAGCATCAGCTCTTGTGGAATCACTACCCATAAGCACCGACATTGACGACAATCTCACCATTTCCTTAACCTCTGCCTTGGTCGGTACTCTAATCTTCTAATGATGCTACCTCTCGTTGTCCTGTCTCATTGAATAAAGAGTCGAGCTTGATTGCCTCTACGAAGTACATGTAGTTACTAGTGAAAAAAAATCTCA